CCACGATATATGTATTTCTTTGGCGTCCACACCGAAACTGTTTCGACTGTTGGCTTTTAATGATTTTTGTGTCCATTTAGAAAACTTGTATAAGCAGTCAGTCCCCGTAAGCGGCTAACCACTAGGAAAGTTTTAAAGCCTTACCCCAGTGGCCAGTGGTAGGAGTACGGTGGGCGTTAGGCAGTATTTTTCAGATCAAAATCTCAATATTACTAAACATATAAGTTCAACTCAGAAGATTCAACTTGCTACCTGCACCTCAACTTTTGTTGTTCCATTTTCCTTACAATTCTACTTCCTATGCAAGGTTGCAGGTCAAAAAAAAATGTCTGTCTCACTAATGACTATCATATTCGACAGCATACTTTCACTTGGCTCACTACTAGAGATGCCTAAATCGCTTGGGTAAATACGTCGGGGACCATGGCTTTCTAAGTAATCATAAATTTCACTGCAGTTCAGTATGAAAGCTGAAGAAGAAAGTTTCTTCGCTTTTCCTTTTCTTCTTTACTCCCTCCATTTTTCAAGTTTTTTTGAGACAAAAAAAACTAACTTCCGAATTGAGTTACTTTACAGAAGCTCTGTTCCTTCTGAAATTCTTTAATCTTCGTACGCCTCATCTACAAGTGTTCGTCTGCCAACTTCTCACTCTGTATAAAAACATTTTTTATTTAAAAATCGGAATATTTGCATAATTCATTCTATATTTTCAATTTACTTTCATTTGCAATAAATTTTTTTCGCTGTGGTAATCTGTGCTCTAAATTACCAAAGCATGAATCAGGAATAATTTTTTTTCAGCAGAATCATCCACTGGCTATCGGTTAATCTCGGCATATCCAATTCAAATATATATGATTAATTCAAGCCATCTGGGATTTTTATAAATTTTATTCGGTTTGACTTGATTTGTTCGTTGATTTATTGGTCATATGGCGGAATTGTCTTCAATGCTGTTAGGGTTTTCGGGAGAGGGGGGGGGGGAAGGAGGGAACACACTGCGCTCGTTCCTTGATTTCCCAAGCTATGTCGAAGGTGAAAAGGTGAAAGCCTCGGGACGTTGGCCGCATAAAAAACAAAGAAGGATGAAAATGACGGAGCTCTTGGGCGGCTTAGAATGCGGGTGTAAACTCAGCAATCTTTGTATGATTCACCATCTCTCTCTGGAAAGTTCCCAATTTAATTCCACAACTTTACAACATTCCATTTCCATTCCGTGCAGACCTATGAACTCCCTTGAAACCAGGAAGTGGAATCTCTCACCATATTGTTTATCGCGGAGAAGGGGCGTGTCAAGGGGGATGGGTTTGGCGTGGCGTCAGCCCGATATTTTTCTCTTCCTGGACAAGTTGTAAGACTGTATGAAGTCGTTCGTACCAGTAGTTTTGCAAGAGTTGTTGTCGCTTATCCCCTTCAAAAACTGGTGGACACCAGGCTGGCGGCCGTTCAAACCCAATCTCATTGACACGCCCCATCATTCGCAGTGGGTACTTCTTTCCTTCCTTGTTTCTTTTTTTCACTGGACAGTATTCAGCGTGGGAAGCTTTGAAAAGACGACTGTGAACCGGAGCCTCAAGGAATTTCGCATAACTATAGGGAGGGTGTGATCTCTGGGGTGGGAGAACTTACAAAAAATGCCCCCGCCCAAGCTGAACTTCTGTAACGTGCCCCTCTAAGCCGACCTGCTCACTTTGCTGAAGCTCAATTATCAGGAGAACCTCAAGCTCTGAACAACATTCAGAATCACTTCCTTCGAAATGGCATTGCATACCTCAGATAAAGCCGTACGATTCAGAATCGGCTCTATGGGTTCTTTCAAACGTACTGGCTGACATTGTTCTCAAAGTATAGGTCGATTATTCCTTAAAGGCAGTGGACACGAAGGCAGGGGACGGGGAGTTGCTGTCAACGTCATTGGTAAAAAGTCTGCGAGAGGTGTTGGACCACACCCCATTCATTCATTCCACCAGAGACGTCAGCAGCAATCGCCCGCCCCCAACCATCGTCTTCACTGCTTTTAAAGCAGTGTCATTCCCTGTGGTATCACTACAGTTGTATATTCACATATTTTGTGCTCTGTTCTGCTACTTTGTTCTTAGTTTGCAATTTACAACTTATTCATTACATCAAGAAATACTCCTATATGAAATAACTAAAGGCTTTCTTATAGATGCGAAAGCAATTATAAACACTTACAGCCTCGAGCACTCTAGAATTGAGTGGTTTCTCTATGCTGCACGTATTAGAATTCCGTCATTGACGTGGAAAAATGGAAAAAAACAAACCTATCTCTAGCTGGGGAAGCGATACCAGCGCACTGCTGGGCTTAGAAAGGAACACTCTGCAGCTTCGTTGATGTCCTCTCTTGGTTAATTTTAAATAATCCCTGTGAAACTGCGAAATGATGTGAGCTAACCTCTTTGATCACCGGGACTTACAGGACTACTCAAGGTGTTTTCACAAGCTTAAATGAGCACAATTCGCCCCCTTGAGGCCGAACGAGGTCTGTTACCAGTTCTGCTAGCTCTATGATGTTCCCAAAACATTTGCTCAATCTCTTCATGCCCTCATATTTTGTGATGGAGTACTGGGGCATGGCGCATCCCAGAAAGACGCGCAGTTGCCAGGAATGTTGTCTTTTTTTACTTTCGGCGCTAGGGCAGATGTTCTCCTGGACTCTCAACTGTAGCAGACAAGAAAAATCGATGTGAAAGCATTTCATTCCTCTCTTTGTTTTTCATGCTTGTTTCCATACATTTTCAAGAGATCTTTTTTATGTTTTCTGGTTGTTTGAAGGTCATTGAACATTACTTAGACAATGAATGTTTGCAGCGGGCGACGATAGGCGTCAAAGCGTGCAGGGCTGCTGTGTGTGGGCCAGAAAATTTGCTGCGCATTCAGAAACTCAGTTTAAGAGCGGGGTATAAAGTGGGCGGAAATCGACGTCAAATTCGCAGGGCGCTGTTCGCCTTGAAGGGGGCATTTTGCATTTTGGTTGATTTCTTCTCTTGGTTCACGTTAACACGTCTTACTTTGGTGAGGTTTGTAGACTCAAGTGAAGCTGAGAAATGGCGCGAGCGAGTCACGTTAGCCAGACGGAATTTTAGGTCTCCACAGAGTGGTCTATACAAACCTAGCTGAGTACCTTCGCTGCCCCCTCTCAAGCCGAACGGATCTTCTACCAGTTCTGCCAGCTCTATGATATTCGTAAAATTTTTGTGAAACCGAATTTCGCCCTCAAACTCGTTCTAATTTGTAATAGAGTACGGGTGCACAGCACACTCCAAGAAAACGCATTATCACCCGAAATATGACCTTTCTATCCCTTCCCGCCCCACAACGCGTCCCCCAATAGTGGCAGACAAGGAAAATCGATGTTAGGATTATTTCATTACTCTCTTTGTTTTTCTGTACCTGTTCCCATACATTTTCAGGATATCTTTACTTGTTTTCTGGTTGTTTGAAGGTCTTTGAACTACATTCTGAGAATGAATGTTTGCAGCGGGCGACGATAGGCGTCAAAGCGTGCAGGGCTGCTGTGTGTGGGCCAGAAAATTTGCTGCGCATTCGTCAGAAACTCAGTTGAGGGCGGGGTATAAGCTGGACGGAAATCGACGTCATATTGGAGTCGCTTCACTCAGACCACCACCACCACCACCACACAGTCATGGCCATGTTCTTCCACTTTATCCGATAATTTTGCCATTTCCACTGAGCCTCCTTTTTTCATGGTTATAGCATCTATTTGAACATCCATCCCACTGATGGCGTCACAGCAAACAGTCAGTGCAGTTTGCCCCCGTGTTCGCTTTGCTCTCATTTTTTTCGTGTAGCGCTTCATTTTTCTGAATCACAAATCTTGCTGGTCGTTACTAGTCGCTATATAGCGTCCATAATTCCATGGATTCCTTTTTCACCATTTATGCGCGCTATTGCCACAGATGTGCAGACGAGTGGGCGCAGCTGATGACGTGAACTAGCGCCACCTTCTTTTCTTGCTCTTTCCCAAAGGCTCCTAGCCATTTCCAAACGATTCCGACAGTTGGCTGGCGTCAGCGCACACACACGTCGATGTCCTTTTGCTGCCATACTCGTGCTTAGAATTGCCCATCGAGAACGGCTGCAGCAGTCCCAATGAGTTGAGGACGAGGAGGCGATTACCTTTCGGTTGCATTATTGATGAGTCTCTTTGCATTACTGCTTACTGCTACGACGAGTCGAGTCGGTCGGTCATTTAGCTAATCGCCTGCCCAGCTACCTAACTGTCTTCTTCAGAACCACCACTTATTACACAATGTGGTCCAAAGGTCATCGTGAACTGTGCACGAGTTCGGCACGATGTTGTTTTCAACCGCTGAAAAATCGAATATTCCATTTCGACGCGCTTTAACGATATTAAAGACGTTCTGGCATACCCAGAACACAATGCGAACGCTTTCTGAAAAAACTTGCGCTTTTCTGAGAAACTTCGAAATTAAACGTGAGTTTGGACCCCGCCTAAAGAGTCGAATTTGGTCCCCGCTCACAGAGTTTATCTTGATCTCCGCCAAAATGGCTTGATGTTATTTTTTGCAGTTTCGAAATTCTTTTAAACCAGATTTAACTCACTTCAATCATCACATGTTACTCGCTTGTTTTTTCAAGTAACTCTATCGTTCACTGTTTTTGTTACAATTGATGGCACTTTTTTCAAACAAGAATGTTTCGTGACTTCGTCGCTCTACACGAGCATTGTTCTCTGATGTTCGATTTGACTGCTTTAAACTCTTACTTACTGTTATCACACTCCATCACTACTCTACCACTTTTTCTAGACTTCCTTTGTGTTCTATCTAACGTCATTCAGTAAACAGTCCGGCGACCTTCAAAGGTGTTTTTAAGGCCAACCCACCAGTTGGTCGTGATCATTGGTGCTTTCGTACTTGATTTTACTTCTGATCACTACTTCAAGTAATTGTGTTGTAATAATAATTGAAGAACTACTTGTAGGCTCAATCACTATGGTTATTCTTACTAAAGAACAAGAAGAAGCCGCTAAGGAGGGCCTCTGGCTACCTCAGCTCGAGCGAGATGGTTGTGGTGTTGGTTTTGTTGTCTCGATCAAAGGCATTAAAACCCATAAGGTAATATACTTTACTTTTAAATCTTGCTACTTTTGTTTAAACTTTTGTCATACTTTTGTTTTTTTTTGATATTTATTTCCTTTAACGTTTGCGATTTTTGCTTTGTTTGCCTACCGCGTCATCTACTATGATTTTTTCTTACTTTGAGTGTTCTTTGGCGAACAGTAAAATGTGAATTTTCTCAGAAGGTTTTTCACTCCAAAGTTTTTGTGTCTTTATTCTTGCTGGTCAGAGTAAAGAATACCAATAATACAGGAGTAAGGGAAATTGTTAGCGCGTAAACTGCTATCGGGGCGAGGCTGTGATGAAAGACGCGCGTTTGATGGGATTGGTTATAAGAAAATATCTTAACAGTAGTCTTTCCGATGTTTAAGATACTAAAAGATGACGTGCAGAGTGTAACTCTGTTTATAATTTTTGTTAGCCTCACTATTGATTTTTTTCATTTCTTCTCCTGTATTTCACTAACTTTACACATTTTCTTTTCACTTTACACTATGAGACGCAGTCGAGGCGAACTCGATGCCAGTATGGGTCAAGGAGACCTCGAAGAAGGTGCGTCTAATCATAGGTAGACTGTTTGGGAGAGATCCCTATATGGACGTGGAGACAGCGACCTTCAAAGGTGTTTTCAAGTCCAACCCCCTGGTTAGTCGTGATAGCCGTGATAGCTGTCAGTTTAGATTTTTTGGTGGAAAGGAGTAAGGATTTCCAACTTTGCGGTTTTGCATGTACTCCTCTATCTCCTTTCCTTTCCTCTGGGTGGGCGAATTTCCCTTTACTTAGTTGTGCAGATGGTTACTTCTGGTTGGAGGAAATTGGATGTAGAGGTTGGCATACAGGAGAGAAACTAAGATGAAGTAAAGAAAATAAGACTGGAGGGTATGGAGATTGTCCTACTGTAGCCAGAATGCATGGGACTGTAATAGGACCACGCTTTCCCCCATGCCATTTCACAGTGTCAAAAGGTTCGGCATAACAGCGTTTACAATTAGTGGAGGTAAAGGATATCTCTGACTTCTTAGGTTCTTTCCAAGGGGTCGTGCGAAACGAAAACTGAGCTATTAGAACCCCACACCTCAAAATTTGCCCAGCACGTTCCGGACGGCTTGACACACATGGTGTGTCATGCATTTTCGCTCTGCAGTTATCTGTTTGGAATCTGTTCCATGCTCTGAAGTTATCAGAACTCTTTTGCAAGGGAAGACACATCCCCTATAGGAGAGCAAAAAAACAGAAGAAATTACTGGTTATAGATGTAAAAAAGTTACAAAAACGCGGAGATTCTCGCAGAACGGCGGTCCGCAATGTGTTAAATATTTATTTTGCTATTAACTGTTAATTAGCACTCAGAACTGCCGACAAACTTAACTTAAACTTCATTACAAAATACTACTTACCAACAAATACTACCTACATTCCATACAATACACATGGACGATACTACCTATAGTACCACTCCTTTCCGCAGTCAAGGACTTTCACGTGACAAAACACCCACCTCGGTTCGACTCGATTGATTGTTCTGTGCGGGGCTCATCCCTAGCGCTTACGAAATCGTCCATGTGCTTGTCCTTGCCTTGTCCTCAATTTTTGATGGACTGGCTGTTGTGAGGGAACAGATGTGCTTACGTTGATGATAAAAATTTCATCATTTGAATTTGATTAAAATAAGGCGGAAAATCAATACTATGGTGGTCTGTGCTTTATGTGTTTGTGAATTATTGAGCGCAAAAGCCCCCATTGTTCGTGTTTATTCAGTAACCGGAAACACTTTAGAGGGCATTATGCACGAAGTGAATCGCGTGTAACCCTTGATGAAACATGAAGCATTATGGGCGAAGAAAAAAAAGGCTGCATTGAGATCGCCATCATGGACTTGGCCATTATTCACTTTTAGTCCCATGAAGAGCGATGGAGCACTTGTGACTGGGCGCCAAAAATGTTTATGCTCCAATTTTCCTCCTCGTTTGTTTCGAATTACTATTCATGAGAAGAGAATATCGAAAGAGGGTGAATGGTGGAATTGTTAACTCTAGTTACCCCTCCTTGGGGTGCGCAATGTTCTCGACTTCATTGCAGAATCGTGGCAGCATCCGAATCAAAGCACGTCCTGTTGCTAGGAAAAATCTCTGCAAAATGCGGCCTCTCCCCCTCCCCCCGATTTTCCTCCTCTGGTACGACCCCACTTCACCCTTCCCTATTTTACCCACCAACTTAAGGGCTTTTCCAACTTCCAGCCACTTCTTCCAGCTTTTCCAAAAAAATGTTTCAACTTTTCCCCCAAACATCTGAGCGGGATGGATGAGAAGCAGGGCACATCATCATTGGGATACACCAAAAGAGAGGGGTCGTTTTTGGTCATTCAGGGAGGGGGGGTTGTTTTTGGTCCGAGAAAAACATTTTTTTGATAGCTGATTTGCCTCGTTTCACGGACGCTATAAGGGGGGGGGGGTCGTATCTGCTCGTTGTTGGGAGAAGGGGGTCGTAGTTCCCTGGGAGAAATTTGCGGCGTTTTGAAGAACTTTCCCGGTTGCTGATTTTTCGTGGTTTTCCCTGTTCGACATGTACCTGCCCCTTCCCGTTTCACAGCTCGATCGTATCAGAGGGGGTCGTATCAAGCCACCTTTAGGGGTGGGGTCGTACGGACTCCACTAAAATCCCCAACTAACGATGTGCAAATTCAACCATAGAAGTAGTACTTGCGTTGTAGTGGCGAATAATAGTCCTGCGGCGTCACCAGCTAGGGGAGAGGGACTTCTCCAGCGACCAAATAAATACGACCCCCCCCCTCCCAGCAGCGGATTACCTAGTATACGAAGATCCCTGATTTGAGTAGGTATCTGGGCCATAGCATGGCGCGTGGAAGCTAATCAGCGTTGATATTACCTTCAAGAGTTTCGGTAACAATTTGGGAACCCGGGATTGAATTCTTCGGACTGGACAGGTGAAAAGCGACGTCATCATTTATTTATTTATTTGATGCGCGCATAGGTGCGCTTTGACAACACAACGTTGTACTGAATAACAAGTAAACTACTATTTTACCTAACGCTAAACTGAGAGGACAGACAATCGCTAAAGTAGGTAGAGCGGACTTCAGCCAGACCTACGCTGAAGGATTAAAAAAGCTTATGAGAAAGCCAGCACTTTACCAGTTGTAGAGGTCCTGAAAACTGCGTAATTCCTCATTAACGCGATGAAATTGAATTCAGGGGCGGATGACGAGGGGAAATCGTCACTTCTAGACGAAAACCAAGCATGAGATCGGAAGCCAAATTTCCGGACCTCAGCTATTTCCTATCTCTAAAAATTCAGTTTTGGACCCGCCAGTTCTAAATTAACTGAGGGGACAGACAATAGCGCTATATTTAGCGCTATGACATGAATGTAGCACGTAACTCGGCGTAAATACAGTCCAATAACGAATGTATTTCCAGATCCTTTGTGAAGCCCGGACAATGCTGGAACGTATGGCTCATCGTGGTGCATGTGCATGTGACAACGATTCCGGCGATGGTGCAGGAGTCCTGACAGCAATACCCGATCTTCTCTATAGGAAATCTGTGAAAGAGTCAGTTCACTATAACTTACTCCATTTATAAAACTTATCGGCCACAATGTACTCTCATTCTGCCAAACATTTGTCACTCCTTATCTCACAAGGCTTAAGGGATCTCTTGGACATTAAAACGGGAAACGTTTGAGATTACTGATGGTCAGGGATTAAGAGCTTACTTGACGGACTGATGCTCGTAAAACTTCTCAAGAGGACATAGTTTCAGGAGTTTTGAATGAAATTTGGTGTCGAGATGGGGCATGCTCTGAATCAAGGACTTACTTGTATTGATTACAGAGCGACATGGGGATGGCTGAAATGGCGGTGTCAGTATGACCCTCTCTCAAAACAGGGTCCCAGTGCGCTCTCATCCAGCACTGCAGTATTTAAAAAATTCGCGCTAAAAACTACCATTTTGCATCAGAGCATGTTATATTCTGGGTACCTTTCTGAACGCCAAGTGCCCCTTCTTTGAGCAATTGTGACTTTCCGTGGTGACTTTAATCGTTAAATTTAATTAGACTTTTCATCCACTGATATCCTTTATGGGGGCGCCATGCATTTGACTCTCCCGTTGAGGAGGTTCAAAGGTGTAAATTTTACATAAAATTACATATTATTGACTTAATGTATAGTTTTGACTGAAGATTCATCTTAAACATAATAAATAACACGAGAAAATGTAAAATGGTAGTAATTATACCAAGTTATAATTAAATAAGGCAATAAACGATAATTTTTTAACGCAATGTTTTTTTAAGCACAATTAGCGATAATTTCAAACTATAAACGATACATTAAATCGCTACTACTTTTTTCACATGAAATTGGCCCTTGCAATGCGACATGACTCAATGGTTCGTAAAGGTCCATAGCTCCATTACCGTTCGTTTCCTTGCACTTTCAGCGTTTACACACCTCTACACTATCGGCATCCTTTCCCAGCGACAAACTGTTGTGCCCCCAGCAGGGCTGCGGCAATATGGTATACCCTGCTCAGGACACGTACTGCCGTTAAGGAAAATTTCTGTGGAATACTCCCCTTGAAATTTCCTCCCGCGAATCAACCTTAACCCTTTCACCTTCCCTCGTACCTGCTATCTCCCTGAATCCTACCAGCTTACTACCTCTTTTTTCGGAATTTTTGTTTCCCACCGAAATTCCTCAATTTTTGGGAGAAGACATATACGCGAAACTGGGAAAACTGAGGGAATTCAATGACCGAAAATTTTTTGACAAAGGCAAATACAACATCCCCCAACTTCTAGGAACAAAATACGATCCCCCGCTAGTTGGGAATCCCCAACGTACGGCGTCCCATTACTCTGTCATTGGGACTTCGAGGATCTGCCTTCCTTATGCAGTAAGAAGTAATAGTCGTGATATCGCCATGATGTGCATTACCAAGAGTTTCTCTCGTTGTGTTCTGCACGCTTATCGATTGGTAGGCACGGTTTGACATCACACGTACAGGTGACGTAGAAAAGGTATTCAGTGCGAAGTAAACTTAAATCTGTGACTTGAAAACTGCTGTGTGGATTCCAGGTGTTTTCCCTTGACAAAAAGCATGCATAGAAGAAAACCGAAGTAGTTTTTATTTTAATTTCTTCTGATATACTGCTCCCTCGGTAACGCTGTTGGAAGATAACTCACCTTGGGCGTATGCCATGGGGATGAAAGCTGCTAACAAAATGATTTTTTGAGAAATATCTCGTTTGTTGTGGGGCCATCTAAAGGAGCAGCGAACATTTGTCTAGAGCGTAAGTAAGCAGTTGTAAGTAGAGAGGCCGCTGAGATCTGTGGTGGCGGTGGTCCTATGTTGAACTTCAGTATAATTTTTTTGGCCCAACTCTCCGACATACTTTGCATAATGTCTTCTTATTCGGTAAGCTGGTAGTGCACAACGAGAATAAAATCAAAAGGTCTTTCCTCGATTTTCCCACGCTGTTGTTGACCCCGGTTGACTTGCGTTGATAAGAGTGATTGGTGGTCTTTTATCACTGGCCCGGCTAATGGCTATTTACTGGGGACGTTGTCAAACAACACGTGGAAACTACGACAATAACATTATCTTGGCTACTTGCCAAAACGCTCACATTTTCCTGTCGAGTAGGGAGGGGCTTAATTGGCTTTGGAGAGATTCGATCCATCTGATCACATCAGTGACAAACGGCGCTTCTGGTTACTGAGCCATGCTTCTTTAAATCTCTCAAAAGGCTCAAAGTAGCACTTGCTTAACGGTACAGAGAGCAAAATTGAAGTGTTGCATTAGATTTTTTTCATCCTTCTTACCGAATTTTCCCGAAATTTCGAGCGGGTAGACAACTCCGATTAGCCATCGAGCATGCTAGTTGAGCCTCGAAAGCAACTAAAAAAGCGCAGGGGAACTTAACACGAAAGGGTTTCTCGCTCGATCGAATACGCACCTCTTTCTGCTACCCAGCACATCACCCTTGATTTGTTTCGCAGAACTATACTATGTCCTGTTTGGGACTGCCAAGAAAGAAAGCAGAGGAAATGTGGGAAATGTCATTCAAAATGTTGAAAAAATGTTGAACCCTATATCATTTGTAGGGTTACCCCACTTACAACTCGAAAGCTCTCTTTAACTGCACATCGGAAACGTAGCAGAAATACGCACCTCTTTCTGCTACCCAGCACATCACCCTTGATGGGTTTCGCAGAACGATACTATGTCCTTTTTGGGACTGCCAAGAAAGAAAGCAGAGGAAATGTGGGAAATGTCATTCAAAATGGCATTTCCCACAGTTCCTCTGCTCCTCTGTAAGTTCTAGTTGAAGGGGTCCTCTCTTCCTCCCCGCTTCCACCAGGGTCAAACATCATGTCGCGCAAAATCGCCAAGTGCTACGACCTCCAGTTCACTGTCGATGTATCTGTAGGATATATGCGGTTGTCTTGAGTACTGTGAGAAAGTCCTTCAATGCCGTGGTTCAGACCAACGCAAAGCAGTAAATCGGGCCAGCTGTGGAGCGGATTGTCAAAAAATATTTCGAGTCATAATAAAATTATCTCAAGGTCTATGGCTATTAGTGTCGTCCAGCATAAGCAGATTGCGGCGAGGGTGGGACGTTCTACATGACTCGCGTGCGCGACATCCGGACCAAGACCTAATCGGTTTGACGCGGTTATGTTGCAGGCTGACAAGTCCCTCTGTTAGGGAATACTGCGCTAGTTCGCGCGATGACGCAAAACGGGGGCTTCAGTTACGAATGATACCGCGATTTTGACGATAACGCCTACGGTTTTCTTTGGGAAAAAAATCACCCACATAAATGTCAGGATAGGAACCATTAGAAGTGGGATCTTCGAGGGCACTATCAAACAATGAGCATAAAGGAGTTTTGTAAACCATTTTAGAAAGATGCACATTTTCGTCGCCGCGCAATGTTAGACCTACACCAAATATTTGAGTATAGCACGCCATAGAGTACAGGAGGGTTAGCAAAGTTTTCAACTTCTGCTGATATTCCCTGGAAAATTTATTGTTATGGAGATTAGAGTGATGTCATCCATGCTCCCTCTGAGGTTTTAAGACGCTTGGGCTCGCACTTATGATCGAAGTACGCATTCTGCAACGACTTCGGTTACAGCTTTCGCACTTGCATAGCCTTTTTGGTAATTGAAAACCTAATCTTTTAGCGTCATGTAATTAAAGCCTCATGGAAAAGCATGTTCCT